GTGATTTTATCTTACTTGGACCCACAATCAATACCCTTGGTACTAGTAGTCAAGATATCAAAAGATGTATTGCATTGGCAAAGTCGGCTGTCAGAGACCTCTCCAAAGCACTGAGGAGCAATGATGTCTGTTTAAAGAATAAGGGGTGCCTGATTCAGCCAATAGTCTTTTCAGTCATTTGTTATACATCTGAGTGTTGGACATTTAATAACAGAAGAATTGAAGCCTTTGAGCTGTGGTGTTGGAGAAGAGTACTGAATATCCTACAGACCACCAAAGAACAAACGGATGTCTTGCACGAAGTGCAGCCAAAGTCTTTTTTTTTTTCCAAAGTCTTTCTTAAAGGTGAGAACGGTGAAGCTTTGTCTTATATATGTTGAGCATGTTGTGAAGAGGGGCTATTCCTTGGAAAGAGACATCATGCTTGGAAAGGTTGAGGGTCAGTGCAAGAGAGGAAGACCCTCAAGGAAATAGACTGATACAGTGTGATGGCAATGGGTTCACATGTGTCAGAGAAGAGGATGGTGCAGGATAGGACAGGGTTCGGATCTGTTGTTCATAAGGTTCCTATAAATCATGCTTGACTCAATGGCACCTAACAACAATAATATGATCCAATCCCAAGATAGAGAAACCCAGATCAAGAGAAGTGACTTGTTAGTTTTCCAAGATGGAAATGAAAATCAGCTCTCTGGATGCCCCATTTGATTGTTTCTCTCCTTGCCTGAAGGAGGTTGGGAAGTAACCTTTTTTTTTTTTCTTAATCAATGCAAGCTTATGACCCGCACTTACTGGGAATTCCTCGTTCATGGGGAATAATTGCAATCCTCTCTGACAGATGACCTCATAGAATGATATCAATCCTGAGAACAAAGCCATTAGCTTCTTCTCATCACCAAATCTCTATTGTCTCCTTTCTCCTTAAAACAGGGCTGCAGCCTACAGGACACTTAGTGTGCCTCAGTGAACGGCCTAATCGGTGGCCACACGGCCCTGAACGCACTGACCTCACCTCGGTGACCAGCATGCTCATGGATTTCAGAAGCTTGCAGTGACCTTGAGAAGAGTGGTTGGGAGTGGATGGTGGTGGAGTCAACTGGAGGGTACAAATCCTTCCTTGGAGGTCAATACACTTGTTTTCCAGGAATTCAACAGTGGAGATTCTGTCATCTGAGGGCAAATACCGGCTTCCTTTACGAAGTGCTCTGCTAGGATTTGTGTCCTTCGGGGCCGTCTTGTGGGTACGGAACAGCCTCGACCCATCCATCCACTCTTATGCACACCTGCCACTCCATGCTGGGCGCTCGGGCCCTGAGTTCTAGACTCCCCTCCACCTCACCTGGAGTTGCTCGGCCCTCACCTGGTTACAGTCACCCAGGAAAACTACACGAGGCTCAGTGCTGAGTCTGACCCTTTCTCAGAGTGCAGTCTCCTTGGCCTTGGTTTGTTGTTAGGCATCCTCGAGTTGGTTTCAAGTAATTTAACTCTGCATGAACAAAACAAAACACCAACAGGTCATGTGCCAGCCATCCATGTTATATAATTAAGTCCATCACTATAGCCGCTGTCAATCCATGTTCTCGACGGTCTTACTTTTTTTCACTGGGGCTCATTGGAGCAGAAAGTGCCACTCACTGGAGCAGTCAGAGCCCTGGACACAATTAGTACCAACCCACAGCTGACCCTCCAGTTTTCAGTGGTAGTAAACTGCACAGGAGCAGCTGGTGGATTTGAACTGCGTGCCTTTGGGATTGCAGTGAGTTGGTTCCAACTCAATGGCACATAACCACATCAGTTAATAGTTGAGCTCATATTGTATGCAGATGGGAGAAAAGCAGGCACAGTGTTCAACAACTTGCCTTATGTCATACAGCTGTTAAGTAGTGGCTGCTCCAAAATCAAGACAGGTATGCTTCATGTACGAGCCTGTGTCAGTCCATGGGAGTGACTAAAGGGTAGGGGTTGCAATCAGATATTTTGAACCTTGTCTCTGCCACCTACATGGCCATGGTGATTCTGGCAAGACTTAGTCAAGTTCCTACAATGAGATAATAGAATTTCTTAAACAGAAAATGAGGGAACGCACCCACAAGGCCTGGCCCATTGCTGCTGCTCACCACCAGCTCTCAGGTGGCTTTCCTGTTCTATCAACTCTCTCACTTGGTGGTGACTGCGACTTCCCTGTGAGCAGCTGTCATGCTCTTCCCTGAAGCCCCAGATGAAGACAAATATATCTATCTTGGAGAGGGGGAAACCAAGTTTCTCCTTGGAGGCTAGCTTCTGAAGCTCCGTGTCTCACATACTTTGGGTACGTGGCCAGGACAGACCCGTCCTTGGAGAAGGACATTATGCTCAGAAGGATGGAGGGACAGTGCAGGAGAGGAAGACCCTGGATGAGGTGGATTGGTACAGTGACTGGGGCAATGGGAGTTGGTGTGTCGAAATTAGTGAGACTGGCTCAGGGCAGGGCAGGGTTCACTATGGATTGTAGGTTACTCAACGACACATAACAATATACTTGTATGAATGTGAATGGGCAAAGCTGTTCAGCCTCATCTGTAAAATGGGAAGCCCACTCACCTCCCAGGACATGAAGACCATGAAAAGAGATGGCCAGAAAGGGCCTCAATTCCCTTGGTAGATGCTATAAAATACCATCAAGTCGAAGGACAGTGAAGATCTCGACGACCATTTCAAGCTTGATCTTCATTTCCCTTCTACCAGGAGACCCTGTGGAATTGAGTGTTCCAGCCATCAATCTTCTAAGAGTCTATAAGGAATATTTGCATTAGTCTGTCTTAAACCCCCCCAGATGGTCCCCTGAGGACCAAAAGTGGAGCTTGGAAAATGGCACCACTATAGCCAACTAGAAGCTCAAGTCCCATCGTGTCCACACACCTTTTGGGGTCAGGCTCAGAAATAACGTCAAGTGTGATCCAGCCAGCTTTGCTGTGGGGCTGTTGGTCATCATGGATGGTCACCAGTTGAAAGGGATACTGGGAAACAACATTCCCTATGGGGACCAGGACTCTCCATCTTCAGCTCAAACTCTTGGGTGGATTAAGCAGAAGTGCACTGGTGATCAATGAAATTGGGAGAAAGAAACCACATGGGTCTGTGTGGTGGAGGGTAAAGAGGTGGGGCGAGAGTTCTGGAGGAGGCCAGTCCTGCCCTATCCAGCCCCCCTCCCTCCCCATACACGGTCTGTCCTGTCCAGACCGTGATGACCACGCAGCTTTCTTAATGGAACAAATCGCTGAACTTGGTACATTTCAAGCACTTTAGCCTTCTAGGACACCAGACTGCTGATGAAAAGCCATCTTCCGTGGGCGCCATCTTAATGAGGCCAAATTTCATATGCTTGCAAACTCTCCCCCCCCCCCCGCCGCCTCCTGGTGTACTGTGCCCCGCACCCACCCTCTCAATAAAAGGTTGCATCAGAGCGAGAGATACTTCCATAATTTATAGTATGGGCATTTCACTGGGGACAAGCGTTAATCTGTACTTACCGATACATTTAAGAAAATGCATCCTCCCGCAAGCCTGCACCATTTATGACTCTTGGCACAAACCACAATACTCAGTCTTCAATTAAGGGACACCTTAGGGTTCATTATCACACGATCGCTCCCTGTGAACCATGCCAAATGCTGTTTTGGCACAGAGCTTGGAAGATGAATTAGAAGGAAGTCTTCTCTGTAATGCCCTCTCCCCAATTCCCATTCCCATCATCAGCGTTTATGCCCTCCTCTTGCTAGACTCCCTCCCCCACTTTCCAAGTGGCTTTTACTATTCAATTTCTCAATGTCAAACTCGATTCTCTAGAGGTGTAGTTAAAGATGCCACATCTCCTTTTTGTCTTCCGGCTCTCAACAAGGCGAGGAAGGGCTGCAGATGGGCTCCACTCCACACCCCTTTACGGCCTAAAGGAGCCACAGATGCTTCCCCCCACCCCTCCTTTTAGAGCTTGAAGGAGAAAAAAAGAAGGGACCAGAATTGGAAAAATACAAATATGAGCCAGGAGGAGGGTTCTGAACTGATGGAAACAGAACCATGCATCTAAATTAAGAGATGACTCATGTGTACAAGTTAACAGCTAAAGTCAAGTGTATTAAAATATTAAAGTGGAGATCTGTGTGCAATATTGTTGCTCCAATCAATAGGAAAGAGAAGGAGGGAGGGGTGAAAAAAGACTGATCGTTATTTCTCAATCTCTCTCCAGTCCAAGGTCTAACAAGATCTGAAATTCCAGGACTCTCCCTGACGTAAACCTATGGATAAGGACACCTCCTTCTCATCCTTAATGAAAAGAACAAGACCAAATGGCTGCACTTGCCACCACCCTCCAACTCGCCTGACACCCTGAAACCCCTGGCTCTTGAGTGTGGACGTGCAACCACATCGTGAAGGTCTAGGTGCTGGGAACTGGGAGGGCGCAGGCTCTCGGAGCTGTGTCGGTGGGCCAGGCAATTTCGGAAGGAAGCAGCAGCCAAATGCATAAGGCCAAAATCAGAGGACAACAGACAACCAGAGGACACCATTTAGCAATTTTCTAGGGCAAGTGTGTGCCCTAGATGGCATGATGTGGAGTGTGCAGGAAGAGGGTGCTGTGCACACAGTTATGGTAAGTGTGCTCGGGCAGCCGCAGACTGACCCCAACTACTGCATGACCCCATTCAGTGGGTCTTCCAGCTCCACTGTGCTGACAGTGCCTCTGTGTGAGGAAGCCCATCATCGATGTCTCGGTGTCATGCCACTTCAAGAGATGCTAGATGTGACAGATAAGGGGCTGACTGTAACCAAGGCTCTCCAGTCAGACTGTCAAATTATACAAAGAAAATTAGCTTAACGAAGTAGGCAGAAATTCAGGCTGCACACCAACCAAGTCGGGCTAATGTAGTGCAAGACGACCGGCTAAGCGCAGCCGACCTGCCCTCTTTCCATTTCAGGAGGCAGTGGGCAGGGGGCAAAGGAAGGAACAAGTGAAGGGAAAGCAAATGGACTTCGCCCACAAGATGTCTTGTGGAAATTTTATTATATAGAGTGTAAAATAAATTGTCAGTCAAATAAAAAGAACACTTTTTTAAAACATCATGCATAACATCTTCCAAATGCCTTTTTTAATAGTTAGACATTTCAAGCATTATACAGAAAATAAGGAGAAAACCCCAGAAACTGTAACTTCAGTACATTTCAAACGGAATGTCCCTCAGGTCAATTAAAAATGCAAGGAAAAAATAGCTTCAATTCCGTTTTTTTTTCTTTAAAAATACATGTTATCTGTACAAGATGCACTACAGTAAACAGTGAAAATCATATTATCCCTTTTATTAAATCAAAATTATTTAATTCATACTGTGGTTAATACTAGATTTATTCATCTAGTTAATTTGACAAATATTAAGAAAATATTTAAAAGAAAAAAGCAAAAAACACCTTGGAATTAAAAAATAGTTACTACATTTTTATATGGTTTAATGTTCCACAGTGTGTGTTAAAAGTTATATTGAATTTCTTTTTAATATTAAAAATAACAGTATTTATATTTCTGAGAGAATAGAGAAGTTTTTTTTGTTTTGTTTTTAAAACAAGCTTGGAGGTCTTAGATACACAATTGCAACAGGTGATGGAGACATGAAAAAATGTATGCTAAAAACATGAACACATTTTTATATTACCCCTTTAGAACTCTAGAAATTATACAAACCCTATAAAATGCCCCTCCCAGTTCCTGTTGGACAGCAATACAATGATCTGTCTCAATTCAGAATTCACATAATTAATTACAATACATAATAGTTCAGCTTTTTAAAAAATGCAATAAAACCAGACAGCCAAGATACAAGAAATTAGAAGCAAAATACTTAATGAATTTACACATTTAAGAATATTTAAATACTGTTTAAAATTTTTTTAAAAAGGATTTGTTACATACCACCTAAGACTTCCAAGCCACTTTTTGTTGCAACAGAAAAAAAATTGTAAATAAAAAGACACGCAAAAAACAAAACAAAACAAAAACCACCATGTTGAAATGTCACTGCTCTGAGGTACATTCTGGTGCCGAATTTGCGCAGGTACTGCTCCAAAAAGAATCTCAGAGCTTACACATTTGAAATAACAACAAAAATAATGAAACAAAAATTATCAGCAATTTTTAGTAACTAATTTTTCCCGATTTTTAGAAAAATTCCGTTAATCTAAATATAGTGTTTCACAGAACAAAACAAAGGTTCTTCATCAAAAGGTTTGCAAATCTAAAAACCTCTGTTACAAATAGGTTTTCTTTCACAATGATTTCAGGGGGGGAAAAACAGCCGCAGATATTGTTCTACTGCTCCTGTGGAGGGAAGGAGAGAGAAGAGAAGTCAGGTCCAGTGACAGCAAATTCTCAAGTCCTTGTGTCTAAGGCTTCTGTTGGTGGGAGGTGACAGGCTCCTCTCCCTTCTGGCTCCATGACAGACTCTGACACATACTGGGAAGTCAAGTGCCCAAATATCTTTCCAGGGATCTCATTCCATGGGATTTCAATCAGATTAAATCCCTCTTGAGCAAGCTCTTTCCGTGGTCACCCAGCAGATCTAGTACCTTTTTACATGGGTTTCAACACAGTGAATTTAGTGGTGAGATGTCCCATTCTTTGGTCCAGGGCCTGAGGAGACTGGCATGCAGGCTACAGGAACCTGAGCAGCATCAAGTCACTTTAAAATAGGCCCTTCAGGAACCTACTTTTTTACTTTAAATAAAAACTCTTTCTGATCTCTTGTCTGGACAAAGTGGTGGTGGTGGAAGCCCTCGGAATAGGTGTGGAATGATCAGATATGGCACTCTGCTCCCAGCCTAATCCTCAAGAGGGCATGGACTGGCCTTCCTCCTGCCTTGCACAGATGAGCAGGGTAAGAGTGACAGAATGGCTACATTACAGTCTCAAAAACAACCGCTGAGAGTGCCCTACAAACAGCACACGGGATCAGACTTGCCCAGAATCATCTACTCCTTGTGCTTTCTCTCATTTTACATCTGGGAAAAGTGATGCCCAGAAGAAAAAGGAGAGTACCACTTAGCAATAAGACCCAGGCCCTGGATCTAAGGAAGAGTTAGGTACTTCCTGTGAAGGATTGTCAAATCAATTCCCCACCCAGCCTGGCCCAAATGGTTCCTTTCTGAAGCTAGGAGGGAGGAGAGAGGCTGCAGCTAGTTCTCAGCAGACAGAAGCCGTGCTATGGAGCCTGGGGCCGGAGCTTCCCCTCTGTAGCCATGGGCAAACACAGACGTCTAGAGAAGGCAGCTAGGGTTTGGTCTGGCAGCTATCAGTAATGCTGGTGATTGACTACAGACCTGGCTGTGGGCCTGAGCTTGCCCTAGCGTCTGCCCGTAGAAAGCAACCTGCTGTCTGTAATATTCCGCCCAAGCCATTGTGTAGTCCGGTGGGGAGCTGGTCTGAGGAGCAGCGCTGGCAGCGTGACCTGATTGACAAAGGAATAAATGTGGGTTAGCAAAAGCAGAGATGAAATTGTGGGGGAGGTGAAGGGCACTGTCAGCTTGGCAAGTTCCTTCCCAAAGGGTTTCAGGCACCCAGAACAAATGCTTGATGCGCCCTCTGGCAACTGGAAAGTAATGGCACTGGTAAAACTGGTGTTGAGGAGTCTTCTAAAGCTAGGCTGTTTGGCATTGCAAAAGTGCTGTCGCACATCTGTCACCCCCAAGAACCCAGCACATTAGTCTTCTCCCTGCAGAACCACATTTCCTGCACCTGTCTGTCTGTCTCAGTCAGCTCCCAGTGCTGGTGACAGAGAAGGGAGCTCCTAGCTCCGTGTGCACGCTGTGTGCACATGCATAGTCCATCATGGCAGCCAAATCCCCTCGGAGTCTCAACCTGTGGGTCTGGATTTGGGAGGTGAAGGGAAGACTGGAATCTGACCTCGTGACGGGTCCTCCCCCTGTGATGATGAACTCTGCAGTCCCTCTTTTCCAGGGGGAGTGTTTCTGTAACAGGCTTTTTGACCTGGGTACTTGCAATGAGCAAGGAGCATCCCTCAGACTCAAAATAGGTGAAATGGAAATGGAGGATTTAGTATAAATCTGAAAGGATTCATCAGGTTGGTTACTCTGAGTGTGTATGTTCTGAGGTAGTTTCTCTTTCCCAAGATGCTTTAATTTCTGATACAGTGTGGGGTGGAAGGGCTTACTGGAGAAGAGTATAAGCCAGTCCCCGTGCCATGTGTAGGTTCCCCTCACTTGCTCTGAAATGGTGACCAAGACAAAGGCAGCAGCAAGATCAAGTGAGAGAACAAGACACTCAGGTGAGCAGAGTCCTGGCAAAGCAGTGCCCAACCGGCCTGGCAGTGGGACTGGGATTCAGGAATCATGCGACTCCAAGGAGCTTTCACCTCAACCGAGACCTGAATTGTGAGGCTGAGTGACACACCCCTTTCAGGCTCTTTAGAATCCAGCCCTGGAGGACAGCAGAGAGGAGGAAAAGGAGGGGATGGTGAGTTTCTGTCAGGACCAAGACACACCCTGTGGCCAGCAACTATCCTAGGTCTCCCCTGACAGACAAGGTAAACAGAAGAGGAGAGGGAGACAAAGTTAGGGATTGGGATCAATTCACATAGGGAAAAGGATTTTTTTTTAAAAGACATCTAACCACCAAGAAGTCAAGTCTACAGGAATGAAGGGCTCTGTTACTGGGAAGCTGTTCGTTAAGGAGGCTCATCCACTCACTCTGTTTTTTGTAATAGTCTTCCCAGACCTTGCTGAAGTCAGGCTGGCTGCTCTGCGGCTGGCTCTGCTGGCCTGTGCGAAGAACACAAAAGCAGTCAGGCCTTCCTGCTTCCTCACAGCCTCAGCCCCAGCCCGGTGGACTCCAGGCCTCCTTCTCCTCAGCCTCCTATTCACTCCAACTCATCAGAGGGTTACAATCACCCCAGGCCCTGTGACTTGGGAAGGTTGCAGCAGGCTGGCTTCAGGAGAAGGTGATATTTCAACATTCATGAAGAGGGTCTTCATTTAGGCAGTGAAGATGGAATGAGGGGTACAATTAAGATCTTGGCCTAAGATGACAGGAATGGCAGCCTCCCCTTAAGGCTGAACCAAGCAGACTGGCTGCTCCTCCCAGGGCCTGGCCTCCTTCAGAGAGAGATTTATCTAAGAGGAGCCTAAGGCCACAGATGTGGCCTTCCAAAAGGACAAAGTGTCCTTCGTGTTCCAACCACGCTTTCACCCTGATCTTTCTGTTCAAAAGGCTGAGGACTTCTGTGAGAGTGCAGAAAACAGGCAAGGAAGCTGCCTGGAATGGTAGTGAGATCGATGAAAGGAAGACAAATGTACACACAGGACAAGGGGCCAAAGACAAGGGCCAAAGACTCTGAGACGTGATTCCAAGTCTTTTTTGGAGGGGGAGGGAAGAAGATGTGTGGGGCCAACTGCAGCCTTTCTCTTCCATGTCCCATCTGAGTGCATCCTCTGTGCTGAGAGCAGTAAGGATGAGGAGGGTCTACACAGTGTGGGAGGACTGCCAGAAGTACCCTGTCCAAAGACACGACGGGCTTACGAGATTTGACCACAACAAATCAGGACCTCTCTTTCTGCAGAGGTAAGGCTGCTGCTCTAAGCGTTCACCTGCTAAAGCCCATCCAAGGTCTTCTCTTCCACTGGAATTCTAGTTGGCAGCTGGTAGATAGGACACAGTACTAAATACATCCAGAGCAAAGATGTTTCCCTGGCTAGTTCGCTTAGTAAAACTGAGGAACATGGATAAGGAGACAATCACTGCAGAACTCCTCCATCAGACATGGAGTGTGTGGACAAGCGAGACTTTTCTTCCAAGCAAGATTTCACAGACCAGAATAAATCCTCAATTTCCAAATCACACCAAGTCCAACAATACAAAACAAAAGCTGACAAATTATGATAAGAACTTTCCTGAGCTTTCTTTCACTCACCTTTGCGTGCCTCTGTCAACTCCTCCTGGCTGGTCTGGGGCCGGGGCTGGGGCCACGGCCAGGCAATAGTACCTGCCCTGCACCTTTTTACTCAGAGGTCCCCAGGGATCAGATCCCCTTTAAAGAGAAAGGTGTATCCTCTCTCTCTAGTATCAACACAGGGGCATACAGTCCAGGCAGCCTGAGGATTCTCTGAAGGACCTACCCCAACACCATTGGGGCAAATGTGACCTTAACTTTGGTTACCTTGCTTCTTGGGGTGCTCACCCATATCTGAACAGTACTGTAAGATGTCATGTGAGGTGAAGAGACAGGGGAGCAGAGTGAAACAAGCAATGAGGGAAACAAAGCACAACTGGGCCATGGGATAAAGCCAAGACAGTAAAATTCTAATGGTAGGATCTAGGTGGTGGTAGGTATTCAGTACAAAATTCTCTCAAATATATTGCACAGTTGCAATATATGAATAAATAAAATAAAACCACGTGATTTCAGAACCTGAAAATAGTAATCACACCTAAATGCTTAACTTCATAGAGGACAAAGCCCCAGAGAAAGGAAGAGACGTACTGATGACGGAAGCATGGCCCTGGATGCCTGGAGTGTTCCCATCCTCCTGTGGCCTTTACTTGGGTTGTGCTCTCAGGTAGCCACCATTCAAGGAGAAAGTGGTGAAACTGAAAACTGAGCTAGGTCCCTGGCTGGTGAAATCCAAACATGTAGCCCTTCAACCCAGTCAAGAAACCCTGGGGGTACAAAGGTGAAAGTGCGCAGCTATGAAGCAGTAAGGGGGCTCTGACAGCACGGCCAGGGCGCTTCACCTAGAAGCTGTGTTGCTCAGGTGGCTGGAACCCACCAGCTCCTGCTAGGGACAAAGAGGACAGCAGAAAAACGTGGTGGTTTGCTTTCCTACAGAAGCACAGCCTTGAAAACCTTGTGGGCCAGTTCTATTGTCCTCCTTGATGGAATTTCTGACGCAGTTTGGAATGGGTTTCATTTGGTACAGGCCAGTACACATACCATAAAAAGAATATACCTTGTACACATATTAAAGAATGCTTTCCAAACACCAAAAGGCTGTAACTTGAGGTGGGTCTAAACAAGTGGAATTTTACTACAAGTTTTTTATCCTCCTCTTTGAGTGGAGGGCTGTGCAAGATGGTCTTGCATTAGGGAAAAAAAATCCCCATGAATGACCCTTAAAGGGCTGATGGGGACAGGCTTGATCCTGTACAAGGACTTATTCTCTTACAGTCAGTAGTCCTGGAGAAGTATCACTCAGCCAAACTAATTCTCTAATTGCTCGCCTTTTCAACAGTTCAGTAGAAAGAAAGATGGGCTGAGCTCAATTCATGGAGAAGCTAGGCCTGGTCTGGGGTCTTTAGAACCTAATTGTGAAGAACAAATACAGCAAAATCCTTTAGCTCTGTGAAGGAAAGCAGATGTAGAGAATGGTTTGAGATTATGGCCCAGAGAGTGCCATTTTCATTCTAGCCTTCCCTGATGTCCTCCTGAGTCCTTTCTTGCAGGGTCTGTTGGTGGCTCCCAGTGATAAAACTGTACAGGCAATGGCTCCGTGGCAGTGCAGCCTGGACCTGGCAGCCAGGAGTCAGAACAAAGGCACTTAAGGTCCATCATCCAAGGATCTGCAAGCCTCCACTTTCTGTAGGAGTGTGTTCCCTCCCCTTGAGTCACTTACTTGGAACCTGCTGTGTAGGCTGCTGCCACGCCTGGTAGGTGCTGCCCCAGCCCTGGGTCAGGAAGGCCGGAGGACCACTGCGGGTGACAAAAGAGCAAGATGATCCCATCTGGTTCCTGTCCTGTCCTCCTCCCCTGAGTCCAACTTCTGCCACCCCAGTTATTGCTTCTTCACAGTTCATCCTCTCCCTATCCCCCAGCTTATCACAAGTCTCCTGGTATGCTGGCAGAGTCGTGGTCAGGTAACAACCTGTGTCTCCTCTATCCACCAAATGAGAGCTGTGTGGCTGGCCTAACAGTAGGCTACTTACCTCACAGGGGTGCTGTGGGGGTTTCCGTTCACTTTAGCAGCAATATTTGGAAAGCACCCTGAGCTCCTTGGAGGAAAGGTGCTAGAAAAAAGTGAAAAATAAGTAACAATGGCTGAGATCTCAACATAAGGGAAAGACTTTTGAAAAAACCCACTCCTAGCTTCAAGGTAGCACATTCCCCTGGGGTATCCTGGTGGTGACTAGAAACCCCCTGCCCTCTGGGAAGGCTTTCATCGTCACTGGTTAGAGTGGACTTAAGGAGAGGGATTAATATAGGTAAAGTGTTTCAGAGAATTCCCCAGAACTAGTTAGGAAAGGGGGGGAGAGGAAGGGAGGACCTCTTGGGAACTGGTGAATTCCTTCAGTTAACATCAGTGCAAAAGACTCACTTTTGATGAGGTGTAGCTGGTGGCTGACTGAAGGGGCTCTGTCCAAAGGCTCCAGGTGCTCCAAGGCTGGTACCCTGTCACGGCACAGAGGAAATTCTGTCTGTTAGCCATGCCTGTACCCTGCGACTGCTGGTCAGACCCACCCAAGACAAAGAACAGCATTTAGGGAGACAAAGCAAAGTGAAATCAAGACAGCCTATGGCACTCAGACTAGTCTTCCTTCACCACAGGGGTTTTTCTCTTCCCACTGAAGGACCAATACTACCTACCACACAGCCAATACTGGCCCTACTAGTTTCCTTGTCACCCTGGGGATAGGGATCAACCTGTTCGACTCGCCTGTCAATTTAGGCTGGCCCAAGGCTCTTTCTGCCATTCTATGTCCCCTTTGAGGTGAGCAGTGGCTAATCTGTCCTCCATCAACACTCCCTTTCTTTATCTGATTTGAGGTGCCTGAAACTAAAGCCGGAGTCAATGAAAGCAGCCTGCAGGCTTGGCTGCTAGGTGATGCCAACAGGAGTCTAGGGCAGTACTGAGGTGAGGCTGCTTGCCTTGGCTAGTTCATCTAAGTAGTCTTAAGGGGACACCCTGGGGACTGAACTCTGCAGCCTTGGGGAATTCTGCTGGGAGAAACTTCCTACATTATTTCTGGGCTTGGCCCAGGTATTCTTTAGGCCTCCATCCTTTCACCTCGGAAAAGTGGTGTGGTGAGGACTGAAAGGCACAAGGAAGAACAAGGTTCCTGGGAAAACAAAGAAGTTTGGCATCCAAAAGAAAATGCAGCTATCATTAAGCCAGAGGTGGGAAAGGATCTTGTACGTACACCAACTTTCTCATCTATGAGATGTCTGGCCACCTCGATCTGTTGAGGAATTCCCCGGATGGTGAATATTCGCAGGTTGGGGTCAGTGTTTGGAGGGGGATTGCGTTGAAGCTCCACATGTGCTCCTGACTGCTGGTTTATACCTTTGATATTCTCTCCCCCTGTAGTAGGAAAACACATGATAGAAGTATAAGTGTAAGCAGCAAACACAAAGGTGCAAAGCTCCTCTTCTCATAGTATTTTCTGCACATCAACACTAGTCTTGGAAGTTTAGAAGCACTTTCTATTTATGTGAAAATAGTTCTAACACAAACCATGGCACTTGAAACAAGATACCAGAGTCCAGCCCAAGGTGCCTAAAGAGTTCTGTCTGCTGAGGTGCCCCCCAACCATGTCTGTGCTGAGGCCTTTAAAAAGAGGACACCTCAGGTCCCTGACAAGGATTTGGACCCAACAGAGCTCACTTCTTGCAGGTCAATTGACAGTTGCTCATATTCCAGCTACAGATTTAGGCCCAGGCAGGAACCTCTGTCCTCTAGGTTTTGGAGCACAATGGGGGCCCTTCAGTCATGGTGTGGCCACTGCACCTCTGCTTTTCTCCCTCCCTCCCTTCACAGGTCAAACAGACGGCCACAGGCCCAAACAATGCCTTTAATATCCCACCCTGTCACTTCTCAAGTCCCTGCCTCTTCCGTGGGGGACATAGGGGACAGTTCTAGACAGAAGCAACCCGAGGCAGCCAGAGGATGGGAATGGGGGTGGGGGCTGGGTCACGGAGGTCTGGGTGGGGTGGGGCTAATGAAAATTTAGTTGGACTCTTTGAAAAACCTGTAAGAGTCCCAGTCTCTTAATGAAATCTGCGTTACAAAAGCTTCACCGGGTAACAATAGTTTGATTCTTCTTTTGAAATTTCACAGATCTTACAGATCGGCTCCATTCAACTGCTGAAGGGAAGATAAAGGAGTCAAAATGCAAAGAAAACTTAGAGCACTGAGCTTTGCAAAAATGGAAGATAGTCTGTAGAGAATCTGGTATAGAATAGCCCCAAATGATCAAAAACAAACACTGATGACTCCTTATTATCCCTGCCCAATCAAAGTCAAACACAAACTCAAAACATTTACCTCTTCACTATTCATTCACAATCCTTCAGTTCACTTTCCTTCCCCAAACCCTTACTGTAGAGGCAGAAGAACCATGTCTGAGTACAAACATGCTGGGTGAGCAGGCAAGGAAGGGAACACTTAGAATGTGCACATGATTACAGACCCTTCTTGAAGGAAGTATAAGAAGCCACTCCATTTAAGATGGAAACCAGGAAACCAGTTGAGCTTTCTACTGATGCCCAATCAACAACTAACACATGTGCCCAAAAGCCACTTGGATTCCTAGGCACAGATCTGATGGCAAGAACACAAAAGGGCATGTGCACCGAGCCTGAAAACTGCAGGCCCAGACAGTCAAGCCCCCAGGCCCTCCCCATCAGGCACTTGCACCAGGAGCCCCAGAGTCCCTTCTCCAGGCCTTAGGAGCATGCTAATAAGGCAAGGAAGGCACCACAAAACTGCATGGAGCCGGAAGGAGTTAATTTAAGTTCATCTTCCTTCAAAATGAGGTCACCAGCTTGGCACATGGTGGCTGTCTATAGACTCATTCAGCAGCCTGCTCCATTCTTCTACTTTATGGGGGGCAGAAGCGACCCGCCAATGGCCCCCTGGCTGGACGTGAAATCGTAAAGCAATTAATCAAACCTGCTAAAAGGCCTGGCTGACAAGAGCAGGGCTGGCCACACTATCTGTCAATATTGTGGTGTTTATCATGGAAATCCAGCAGGGGCCTGTGGAGGCAGCAGCGTCTGTCCAAGGGCTGGGGCCTGAGCCTGGAGCCCGGTGGGGAGTAGAGTTTGACTGTGCACAGGCTCCACTCCTTCAACCTCATCTGGACACCTTTCCCAAGACGAAGACATGCTGCACACCTGGGGAAGGCACAGAAAGACATCCCTCCCTCCCCAGTGAAACTCCTCCTGGGCGCCTGGAGCCTACGATTAGCATGACAGCATGGCAAGCAGTTCCAGACTCATTCTGCTGGCACTTTCTCCTGAGCAATCACTCAAGATAATTCTGTAGGAGGCAAACCAAGGGGCTATTCTGCAAGCACGAAGATTTCACTGGTTATAAGGAAATGTCACAATGAAGACAGTGCTAGTGTTTAAAAGAGCCACATTCTCCAATAAACATGTCACTGACAAAAAGGTTTTCAAAAGACAAGGGAGCCTCTTCTCAAGGTGATTCTCAATCAGTAAGCGATGGCTGGATTTAAACTCTTAGCAGTCAAGTTGATGATCCATCTATGTGACACATTTCACATACAGCATTCTGAGCAGCTCCCTCAATCTATTTACCATTTATTTATCAATATGTATACCCTGCAACACCCAACCACAACAGCACCTCCCTACCAGAAAATGAAAACAAATCCACCTTGCATCTACTACCTCTGAAGGATTATAACCTAAAAGATTACAGAGAGAGAGGAGAAAAATGTTTCTGAAAGAGTAAAAAGTACACACTGTACATAAGCCAAGATAAGGGCAGACTCTGGGTGGTGAATGAGGGGCCAGGAGGGTCCCCACTTTGCCCAGCTCTCTGGAATGGGTTCGAGAGTTTCAGGTTTCTGTCTGTTGGTAAAGATGTTCCCAAATCATGTTCTGTGGAATACGGAGCATCCCTGAAACAGCTAAGGGATGTTTGATGATCAAAGAAATGTGAGACACTCTGGGGAGAAGATTGTATTTATGTCGTCCATATGCTGTCAAGTACATAATGAAGGCACATACAAAACGAAACCAAGTGCCAACGGCAGTTTCCTGCTGTCAGCAAGGTTTCACGGGGAGATGTACTTAGACCTCAGAGAGAAGCTGAACTCCTCAGACTCAGCAAGGGCCCCAAGAGTCCCAGCTCTGCTCTCAGCAGGTTTTCTTAGTTCCAAGGATAGTCTAGATAAACCACTAACAACAGTCTTAAAATGTGCCTGCTTCTCCCTCGTTTTCCACTGAAGGACTTTAAAGAGTTACAATGGCCATTAACGAAGGCTTTTATCTAGGGCTCTCAAAAATGCCTAGAAACAACTAACAAATCAATTTCTATTTTCCTTCTCAGACTATTCACGGTAAGTCTGTTGAAAGAGTAAAAATCCTTTCCACATGCTATGCCAATAAAGACCAAATACTCAAATCCAGTAAGGAAATGAAGGGACTTCCTCAAGAGAAAGCAATCTTTGCTTGAGGAAAATGACCAGCACCATTCCTCTAAGTTACTGGAAGGTGAATTAACTACTCATCAGTCAGTGAACAATTATGTAGCAAACCCTCACCAGATGCAGGACAACTTTTCAACAATGCAAGTTGTCCATTAGGGAGGAGACTTCTCATAGTGTGTTTACATTAAGAAATGGAAAAAAGTCTCTTTGCCCCCGTTCATGATAGGCTGGAACTTAAAAGACCTATACATATGATTCTCACAGAAGGCTGTTGATGCCACAGACATGTCAATCTAAATTCACACTTTGGAAGCATATTTGACTTATTAACTTCAGAAGAAACAACTAGGAAAGAAAAACGTAACTCCACAATCTGCGTCTTACCTTTGCCGATGACGAGGCCACACTTATCTGCTGGCACCGTGTATGTTATCTCCTGCACGCCACCAGGGGTTCCCATGCTCCAGTCACTGCGGCCCCGGCCTCTTCCTCGGGCTACCGCAAGGCTGCTGAAGCCATCTCTTTCCTGAGAGGGAAGTAAGGCTCACATGATGCTTTCTGCCATGACTCCCAGCACCACTTCTCATCTTCTTTGAGGAGGTTAAGTGACAGGATGTAATCAATGCCACATATCAGAATACAGGGAACCAGAGCACCTTTCCACATTTCAAATTCTGGAAAGCTCTTTAAAACCAGAATTAACACAAATCACAGGTGTGCTGGAGGAGGATGTGTGCAGAGAAACACGTGTGGTTACATAAACAGCTTGAACACTTCAAGTAAAACAGGCAGGGAGACAGAAACTTTTAAGTCTGAAGTTCAACTACCTTTCCACTGAGTTTTAATTACTGGGCGCTAATCTAGAGACCAACCGTTGATAGTATTAAGATGACAAAACTCTGTCTGCAGAAAGTGAAGACTACCTGAAGCACTTACTGAAGAAGATCAAAACCTGTTGCTCTTACGTACCAGTGAGCTGACTGGAACTTCAAGTTATCCTATGAAGAGCAGTTCAAGTTATCCTATGTCCTGTGCCATCCTCACTCTGTCTGACACCATCCAACCCACTGTTCCAGTCATTGTGTTAATTCATTTTGTGAGGGGTCTTCATCTGCTTCTCTGACCCTACACCTTCCCCAGCATGATGTCTTTTTAAAAAAGATGACCCTCAAAAAAAAAAAAAAAGATGACCCTCCTTGACAAGATGCCCAAATTATGTGAAACAAAGTTTCACCATCCTTGCCTCTAAGGAGAACCTTGGTTGCATGTCCTCCAAGACAGATTTGTTTGTTCTTTCAGCAATCCACAGGATATTTAGTACTACAGGCTTCCATACATACATCTCAACTTCAAAAAAACAAACATCTTCACCACTGGACCAACAAGCAACATCGTACTAGATGGAGAAAAGATTCAAGTTTCATTTCACTTGGATCCACAATCAATACCCATGGCATCAGCAGTTGAGAAATCAGAAAATGTGTCACACCAGGAATATCTGCTGTCAAGGGCCAAACCCAGTGTTAAAGAGCAAGGATGTCAGTTTAAAGACTAAGGTGCACTGCACCCAAGCTTCGTATGCATGTTAAAGCACGACAATGAATAAGGAAGACTGAAGAACTGATACCTTTGAACCACAGTATTGAGGAAGAATATTGAATATATTAGGGACTGCTCAAAGAACAAACAAATCATGGGGGCAAGAATGCTAGAACTTCATCTCACATCCTTTGGGCATGCTGTTAGGAGGCACTGATTCATGGGAAAACATGAGAGGAAGAACTAAAACACTGATGCTAATGATGCACTTGAGCAAGGTAGAGGCTGTGAGGACAGCCGAGACTACAAGGTTTCGATCTGTTTTTCAGAGGGTCATTATGAGCTAGTCAACTCAATGGTACTAAACCACCACCACCTACAGGCAACAAGGGTCAGTTTTCCCCTCATGGCTAAGACCACTCTTTGCTGTGGTCCTCACATGCTGTGACGATCCAAAGTCACAATTAGGAGATGATAAAAAAAAATACAGATATTTGAAAGTGACATGCGTAGCTTTAGGTCCTCTTGTGACAGGCTAGAAAGACAAATCCAAACACTATTTAAGAATCAGAATTATTTTAAAATCCAAATAGTAAGAAAAGACTAGTAATCCTAGTGGCAAGAAGCTGTACTGCAATCCTGATGGCATGCGGATCAAGGCCAGCAGCAGCTCCGTTGGAGAAGGATGGGCAGTCTTCTGCTGTGTGATTGATGGCCTCTATAAATCCGCTGGAGGGTCAGCTATGGGTGAGTTTTGACTAACGTTTCTCGAATAATCCATACTGGTCAGGCATCAGACAGTAAGCCTGACTCTGACATCTAAAAGTGCCTTGTTGCATATATCTTAGTTACATATTCGTCGATTCAGAACTGACTCACTGCTGACCCTCCACTGGGTTTTCAGAGGCAGTAAGTTGCACAGGAGAGTGCTCATCTTTCTTTCATGGAGCGGCTGGTGGATTCAAACCATGTGCCTTTAGGTTGGCAGCAAAATACCTTACCACTAAGGCACCAGATCTCCTTACCTGAGTAATCTAGCATAAGAGATGCCATAAATGAATTACTTTAACAACACAAATGCACTCTCTTACAGGTTAGGAAGCTGGAGATCTAAATTCAGGGGGCCTGTTCTGGGGATAGGCCTTCTCTCTCCTTTAAGTTCTGGATGAAGGTTCTCATTTCTTCAGCATCTGTAGACCTGGTGTTCCCTGGCAAGACCCATGAGACTTGACTTTCCCTAGTGCTAGGTAGCTTCCCAGCAGAGACCAGAGTCCAAAAGGACATATTACATTCCTGGAGTCTCTCTCTTGGTGGTACTAAGGTCCCCTCTTGGCTCACTTTTCTCTCTTATGAAAAGAAAGATTTTATGGGTTACATACCGCAAGGAAATTCCCCTTGTATCTGGCCACAACTGATGAGATTAAAGGGTTACATTCTACCTCTATCTGTTTTACAACTAATTCTGTCAGGTTATGGTCGGAGAGTTTCTACATTACACACACACAGATTTCTTTCTTTAATACAATGAAATCCATGACACAGATGAATATTTTCATCCCAAGGTGCTATAAATCTGGTCTAGCCTTTGTCCTTTTGGTCTACTTTGGTGCTGGTAAGATCTAAAATTTTTAAAACACTGGGGGGAAATTCATGTTGAGGACTCCTTTGTGGAAGGGAGGTGGTGAATGGAAGTTCAACACAATGAAGAAATGCTTCACAGAGGTTGCCCGTGCTGCTTAAGAAATTTACTGAATGTTCCAGGCTCTTAAAATTTTACTATTAAAAAAGATGTAAGAGGGAGAGTTCTGGTGGCCTAGTGGCAAGGAGCTGCAACTACAATCCCAGAGGTGCACAGTTCAAATTCACCAGATGCTCTGCCAGGGAAGGAGGGACAATCTCCTCCTGTACCAGTCAGATCTGATTTGATGAAACACTCACACAAAAATAATAAAATAAAATAAATTAAAAAAAAGATGTAAGAGAACATTTAATGACTATTTTATAAAAAATGTCCTGAACTTATAGTTAAATCTCTGGCTAATCTCATCCAATAGTCTTGGTATAGGGTCTTTAGTAGGTATTGTCTGATGATTCCTGGGGAACCACTCACATAAGGTGTACTGTCCTGGGGCATTCTCTCAATTTTCAAATGAGTAAACCAGGACCAGAGAAGTTTAAAGGTCTGTCCCAAACCACAATGCAATGACAAAGCTGGGTCTAAAATGTGATATTCCTAATTTCCATTCTGTTACTTCTTTCTTCAACTTTTCCTAAATCTTATACAACTAAGGATCCTCAGTTACAGTAGTTCACTAGAGCAATTCTTAAAGGAGGAAAGGAGAATTTTTGGTGTTCAGGAGAGGCTAACAATATCATGAAGTTAATACATGATCAATCATATACTAAAAAGTAATAAAATACTTGAAGTCTTCCTCTTCTTCCCTGACCCTCAGCTTTTCCAAATACGCTATCTTACCTGAGGAACTGGTCCCTCCTGATTACAAGTCCAAACTATGTAAGCCAAAGACACCACCCTTGTAAGGAGCGTTCATTTCAAGACAGAGTTTGCTTGTTCTTTTGGTAGTCCATGGCATATTCAATATTCTTTGCCAACACCATAATTCAAAGATATCTCTTCACTGTCCATGAGGTCATTAAATCATATTTGATTTGATGGCACTTAACATCCCCTTGTTTTGTTTGAAAGTCATGTCTACGTATATGTTCCATATGAGAACAACTAAGTGCTCTGGAATTCTCATTCTGTCTTGTTACCCATTATGTTTATGATCCACAAAAATAAAAAGCTTTTGCATAGTCAATAGGCCTATGCACAGTCAATAAAATACAAGGGAACAGCTTTTTGGTATTCTCTGATTTCAGACAAGGTGCATCTAATGTCAGCATCATGTTCCTCATTATATATGTCCCTCATTATATAGCCTCTTTTTGAATCCAGCTTAGAGTTCTGGAAGTTCTTTATAGATGTACTGCTCAAGTAATTTTAAAACCATTTTCAACAAGAGTTTACGGTGTGTGATAATGACATTGTTTGATAATTTTCATGTTTGATTGTATTATCTTTTTTGGAAGAGGCACAAATTAGAGGTTTCTTCCAGTCAGTTGGCCAGCAGCTGTCTTTCAAATTTTTTGGCACAGATGAGCTTATCTAGTTCTGCATCTTGTTGAAACACCTGAACTGGTATTCAAGTCAATTCCTGAAACCTTGTATTCTGCCAATGCTTTCTATGCAAACTAATTTTTTCCTTCATTACCACTGGTTCCTGATCATGTGCTATACTTCCTGATGTGGTTCAGTGTTGGACCACTTCTTTTTTTGGTACAGTGAACTGTGTAATCCTTCCATCTTCTTTTTTTGTTAAAATGTAATACTGTTTATTTAACTTCAAAAACATTTCCACATTCTAAAACATACAAGAAAAAGAATAGAACACTGCAAATTGTGTTTAAGTACAGAAGGTTCTGGAACTTCCATGGACACAATGGCTCTTTATTTTGTTGACGTTGAAGAGCTCTACAGTTTGTTTACAAAGAAAGTTTAAAAATGACTGCAGTTAACAACAACAACAACAAAACCAAACCTCACAAAATCCAAACATCTTTCATGCCAGCTGATCCCCCGTTTTCCACAGCTAAGAATGGCAGCAGATGCTATGTCATTACATAAAAAACAAGACAACCTGAAGCTAAACGGATACTCACCACAGTGTCAAGAGGTCAGGTTCACAGTGCATGCCTTGAGCTCTGGTCCCCCAAAAGAGCATCACCCCCAGACCCCCAGGCTCAATGCCAAGTATGGACCAAGAGTGTCTTGGTTGTTTTGTCCTTTTTACAAATTGTAGATATGTACAGTTGTCCAGCCAACAAACATAGTTACCGCCACCTTACAAATGAAATAAACTGGGAGAAATGCCAGAACTATCTTTAAATGCTTTGTCACACCAATAAGTGTGACCAAGAGCAAAG